TAACAGTGTATATAAAATAGCTACACTTTTAAAAGTTTTTTTTAAATATTTATCTTTACTTATATACTTTATTTAAGATAAATTTGTCATTTAAAGTTAAAAATATTTACATAATGTATCAAACATTTGTCAACAATACAACTATTATATAACTATACTTTTTAGTTACATATTTTACTATTATAGAAAATAGAAAATACAAACCATTATCTCCTACAATATTCATATTGGTAAATAATTCCTTTATTTTCTCTTGAGACCAGGCACAGGCATTTTTTTCCGTCCTTAAAATACATTGCTATTAGTTTTTATTCAAAAAGTATTATATTACTAATTTCAACAATTTTCAAGCTATTTTAAGTTTACAAAATTAAAAGAAAATGTAAGCATATATGTAGTGTATAAAATTATGGTCAATTTGGTGACTAATAAATTCTATCATATAGAAAATGAATTTAAATATGAAATGAAAGGATTAAAGAGACCTTTTATAATATATCTCTCTGTATAAAGTTTGTTTATCACTACAGCAACTTAAGTTTATTTACTTTTTACTCATTAATTCATTTCAAATATATAACTTGAAATTTTTTATTTTCAATTAATATTTAATAAATTTTGACATAAATATTACAATAAATATGAAGATTGACAAAATATTTATCTTAGCAATCAAAAATACTTATGCTTTCCTAATTATAATTACTTATTTTTAAGATTACAATATGACACTGATATTGTAAAAAATTTCATATTTGAATTTTAGAATATTTTTAATGACTAGACTTTGTTCTAATTAATTAAATATACATCAAAATGAAATTTTTAGTTTTGCACATTAAAATTGCTTTTATTCTCAGAAACCAACAGCTATTTACTACAAATAAATGATAACTGCAATCAAATAAACTACCAACTTTATCTAAGTTATTGTAAATCAAGACATCAGTTATAAACAAATGAGGCTTTCTGGTAATATGTTAATTGTAACTGTTTACAAACAAAAAGAAAAATAATGAAATTATAATCAAATAAATTAAATAAATCTATACTTATACATATAAATACAATATTTATATCCAATAATATACATACCAGTGCCAGTTATTAACATTGGTTGCATCAGGCCTTTCTTCAACAATCCATCTTGGATCTCCTTCACCCCACTTCGCCATGTCTTATAATTAAAAAATTACACTATACTAGTCTCCAAATATATTAACTAAAATAAATAGTTATTCCTAAAACATATAAAAAATCATAATTCATTAATAATATTATCATTTCTTTTACATATGTTACATCACAATAACATACTAATATATATTACACTTATAAAACTGCAAATACAATAATTTCATAACTAATATAGAGAATTAGATTACATAAAATATTGAAAACATTTAAAATTGATTGTAACATATAAACGAAAAAACTGGAAAAAATGTTAAGGTATATAATGATATGAACTATTTCAATTAATCTTCAAACATAGGGTATAATAAATTATAATATTTAATAAATAAAATTAACAAAATAAATCAAAATCATTGCATTACAATAATTAACATTCAATACAATTTTCACTTATGATAAGAAGTAATGTTAAATTATTGATTACTTTAGACATTAAAGTATTATTTGAAAACAGGAAATAATAAATGAATTCCATTGCGATTTTAATATTATAAATATATTTATTTGAAATGAATTTACAGATTCTCACAAACACTAAAATATAACAGAGTAAATTAAATATTCATAAATGAAGTTAACTGATTTCCTACATTTTGCAAACGATGTCATGCAATTTTCTTACAATTTAAAAACTATCAAATAAGTTAATTTGATACGATTTTGATTAAAGCATGCAATTATTCAGAAACAATTAAACTGGAAAAACAATCGGCTTCCAATCTCATAAAAGTCAGTTTGAACCCAGCAAAATGTATGAACCGTAACCTATAATTTATTGAGCGTTAACTAAACCTTTCTATTGAGAGAAAAGGCTTTGCATATCACCGTTTTACGTAACATTCATTAAAATTTACTTACCAAAAATTTGGAAAATTTGTCCGAATAAAAAAAGATTTTGCCAGTTATTTTTTACTCTTTTCTAATTTGATTTAATTTTAAACTATAACTTGATCAAGCTCTCAGTACATTCTTTTATAAAAAATTATTATTTCTGGAAAATTCGAAGCACGTTGAACGTCAAAATGCTTCCATGCAAGTAAATAACTTGAAGATCGCACCTTCACGCGAAACTCGAAATTACTAAAGAAACAAATACTATGGTGGTGGGGACGTACAATAGTTCCAGAAATTTCGGGAACATATAACAAGAAAATTGTTCCAGATAGGAAACTAAATCAGAATGTATACCGAAAGGAAAAAATGTAACAGAAAAATGATTACATAATGGTAACATGATGCAAAATAATTTATAACATCAAAATGACAAAAGAAGAAAACGTTAAAATGCTCGTTTAAAAACAGAGAGTATTAATGAAATGATATATAGGCTGTCGTAATATTACACGACATACTAATAAATGCATTAAATAAAGTTTTTTGATCAAATAAATTAAAAATCTATATTTGTAACATAAGTAATATAAATTCAGTTGTTAAGTTTTATAAAAAAAAAACATAAGAAAATAAGTTCAAAATTGTATCAAAAATTTTTAAATATGGGAAAATTCTTAACATTATACTCGGAAAAGCAATATTTAGGTACATTTCACGTTTGTAAATGCATCTACATAGCGGCTTAATGTTTCAATGAAATGTACAAGAATTTAAACTTCTGGATTTTAACAGTTTATATTTTCAAATTTGAGATTTTTAGTATTTATATTACATAGAATACTTACATGTCAGATTATCATAAAATTTATTTTTCCATGTTTGTTCGTTTATTTCTTTTTGTATATACAGTATGACGTTGCCTATATTACTATTTACAACAATAAAGATGCATTTTCAAAGTTGCGAACATTTATCGTATAGAACTTATTCATACAGAAAGTCTGCATTTCTGCACTATAAAGCCCTTACTGAGCTTGACCATCTGGCGTTAAATAAGAATCATTCAAAAATAGTGTGCCTTGGCGTCCGTGTCATAAAACTGTCATTAAGCCATTACTTAAGTTTAATTAGTAATTATGAATAGCATATATTAATCATAAACTATTATAAAATGTAAATTTTTGTGTTCAATACATATGGTAAAATAATTACAACAAACATCACAAGAAAGAAAAGTTGTGTATGAGCCATTCGATGTCAAATTGCACGAGAATTGTGCTCATAGGGACTAATCTTTTTTTAATTTTAGTGTTCTAATCTTTCTTTTAATCTTAATAGTGTTGAAAAACTAAATTGTCTAAAAATTTATCTCGAACTATTTTCAAGATGCTCAAAATTAAAATTTTTAAAAATTGAACAAAATCAGTCGACATATCAACCAAAATATTTCAGCTCTATTTAAGGTTAGGTTAATTTACGATCATTTTATACTTGAAGGAATGCTGTTTTAAAATATGTAGAATAAAATTTTATTTATTAACAAAAAACAGAATAATAATCGATACTAAGACTTCAAATGTCTGTTTGATGTCGTTCGTTTCCCTGGATCAACTAAAAAAAGAAATTCTTGTTCGTTGCCCTGTAAAACAACTTAAGAAACTTACTTACAATAGCACCTTTAGGATATTTTTTAAGCTTTCCAAAAAAACAAACGTTTTTATTTTCTACAAGTTAAAATAAGATGAGAATAGACAAAAATAGATAAAAAGCAAGAACAACGAAATTGCGTTTGAAATTTCATTTTTTAATTAGGTAAGCTTTTAGAAGGAGACGAGGGTACCGTCACCATAAAAAACAACGTCTCATAGCTAGCAGTAAAAGTAAGAAACAAGCTATTCACAGAACTCTGGAACCAGATTTAGGGTATGAGATACGCGATAACTTTTACGACGGTTTTCCGAAACCTAGGCCTCATAGCAAATTTTCTGGACAGCATGCAATTGCATGTATGTGTGCTTATTGTGGGTCTACTAATGAACACTGGTCACAAGAAAACACCTGATGCGTTTACAGGAACCAAGATGCTCGGACTTGGAGGGGGGGATATCTCAGGCACAGACTATGCCTTTCCCTTCGTGTAAAAAACTTGCTGCAATCTTCTAAAATTTTTATAAGAGGCCATCTTGGTATCTTTATCAGATACCTCACATTCTAGGTTATTAACTAAGTTTATGTAGTGAAAAAGATATTAAATATTTATATATAAAATTTTCCACCTTTAGGGTGTTTTTCAAATGTCAAATGTTTTTGATAGTTGTGGATTACAATTACAATTTTGGTCATGGGGTCATGTATATTACAAAAACGCATTAAATATGACAAATCTATTACGAACATTTGTGTTTGATAAAAGATACGTTTCAAGAATAATTGAGTCCGCATAATTGTCCTCGTGGGTAAATAATTCGGAAACTGAATCTGTATAAAACATAAAGAAGCCTGTGCGTCATCCTTCAGCTAAAAACATTACCATTGCATCCTAAATCTCTTATTGGAAAACCTTTTATTATTTACATGCACAATTTTGTTAAATAACTATTCCTTTTTCTCATAAAGGTACCAAACAAGTTAAATTCCCAAATAAATACTTATGAGCAGTTGTGTACATAACTAAAAATCAGTTATTTTCAGATTATTGTCTGCACCTAACTTTTGTCTTTTAGATTTAGTTGCATCATCTCTACTTCTTTTTGCTTTGATACTATAAGAACTAGGAAACTGCTCAAGTTTCGAATGTCCTCCAAAACCATTATACGTAATAGTATTAATCTCTACTTGCTCCTAAACAAATAATTTTTATAAATAAACAAAATACAAATTACCATTTTCGAAGTTATTATATGCATTCTTACATGTCTTACACTTGTTTGTTCAATTCTTGGTTTTTTTGTAAGAATTGATGAATGTAATTTCATTGTACTGTGTTTTTCATTTGCATGTTTTAAAACGAATACTCCTGTAGATTTAATTGGAAGATATGGTGAATCCGTTTTATGTTTCTAAAAGCAAACCAGTAAATATTTCCACATAATAATAATACCCATTCGAATATATCATAAAATTTTCAATTAATTGTTTAAATTACCGCAATAGTGGATTGACTTTCCCTTTTTTGATCTGTATTCTCTTTTTCAGTTTTTTCATTCTTGTCTATGCTTTCAATTTCTTCTTCACTACATTTGTTATTAGAAGAGTTATCTAATGTATCTACAGTTTTAAAATTAAAGTTACTCGACCTTTTCATTAATGATATACTTCTTTCCAATTCTCTAAGTTTATTTTGCAAAAGTATATTTTCACTTTCATAAACGATTAATTCTTCTTTAAGTTTTCTGCAAATAAAATATATTTTGATAGTAGAAAATGAATCATTGCATATATTGAAATGTACAGTATTTGATGTAAGATTCCATGTGACATAGCCAACGCACTTGATTTGCGTTTGTTGATTTCCTTAGAGTCATTAGAGGAAATGAATGGAAAGGCTACGCATGTCCGCACCATGCGTATATATTTCTCGAGTTAATTACATATAAATTATCTAATTAACTCTAGCAGCCCAAAAATATGATTTCTTATATAATTAAAGTTTCTTCTTTCAGTGCAAAACATACATACTTGTTCTTAGTATGTTCTTCAGATAAAACATTCCGTTCCATTAATGCTCGAGTAAGTTCTTGCTGTAAACTTCTTACTTTAGATCTTAATTCCCTTCTTTTATTCATGCAGCCTATCATTTCCCTAAATTTAACATATAATTCTTAAAAATCAAATATAGATATAAACCTTTCAAAAATGTTTAATTACCTTTTCATCACAGATATATATGTAATAAGTGTATTAGGATCATTTGTTCTTGAAATCATCCCATCTACCTCTTTTGTGGAAGCATCAAGTAAGGTTTGTATATCTATAATTTTCAAGTTTTTTCTTCAACTGCTCAATTTCTCTACCGTTGTTTTGTATTTCTAAATTTTGCTCCTTAAAATATTTAACCTGGTCTTTAAGAGCATAAATAGCAGTGTTTTTTTCACTTAGTTCACTTTCTAATTTTCGTACTTCCTTCATCAACTCTTTACTTTGCTTTGTTAATGTTTCACTCTTGTCTGTATAATGTTTAACATCTTTTTCTTTTAAGAGAAGCTGAAATTTTAATTTATCTATTGTATCCTGTAAAGAACAGGTATCTTCAATAATGGTATCATTATTGGAAAAATTAAAATATATTCTATGAATTTTATGATTCGTAGTTTTTTCTCTACATTGTGGACATGATTTGGATCTGTATAAAAAAAAATTGACAAATTTAAATGAACAGTAAAACAGTTTTTCTATGTGTGTATAAAATGTGAACATTACTTATAAAAATTAAAGTATCATTGTTTACATACATTAACATAACTTTGAAATTAAGAAAAGTTAAATTTATATTGACACTTCATACCTCTCTAGCCACTGAGTTAAACAAACAAAATGAAAAATATGCCCACATGGTGTATGGAAAACATCATCAGACGGTACCAACAAATCACTGCATATAACGCATACAATATTCATTTTGTATATAAGGGTGATAAAATTTAAGTATAAATATTTGCAAAATAAGTACGTTTTATTGCCACAAGTTGTCAGTAGATTAATTCTTTTCTTATTTATTTATTTATTATTTATTTACTACTACGTTACGTTTCTATCTGACTTGTATTTCATACTATCTTTAACAACTAAATTCTGAACGTTTTTACTTAAACTTCGAAAAATGAATTAAATTGAAATGTCCAGGCATAGAAATTATTCTACGGAGAAGAAACAAAATATCTTAAATTCATTTTATAGTCCAGCCAATTAAATCATTGGTAAAATATATTGTATGACACCCTAAGCCAATCAGAAGACGACGACAAAGTTCTTAGATGGCCACAACATACACTCTGCGGTTCTCATGCGAATCCACCTTTCTTAGTTTAACGCACTCATATAAATATTCACAGCGAATTAAATGTAACCATAATCATAATTTTATTTTATTTTTTAATATAGCTCGTATCTATTGTGACATAAGATAAGGATCTTAGTGTGCTGTTACATTGTAGTTTGTATGTTAAAGTGACTGACATAGTGCATGCGCACGCCGCTGCGCGCGTAAATCCCTGAAAGAACCTAGAAAGCTCAAACGTTATTATCTTGTTCGTTAAATCGTCTTTCACTAATTGTTCTTCATTATTTATACTAGCATTTGTTTCGCTATCAGAAGAGCCAAGCATGAAGAATCTTTTATTGTTTGATAGTGCTTGTTGTGTATGCGAATGCATATCTATATGTGTATGAGTGTATGTTGCATTGTCAGACAATGTATTCTCAGGTCAATCTTCAATTCCTTGTACGTACCTCGTGTTTTTTTGCAAGGTAAGTACTCTTTAGTTACAGAAATTATAAATATCTTTACTCACTCCTTTCAAATAAGCATAAACTATTTATAACATTCACGCCACGCGTAAATTTACAATTTTATGTACTAGATAAACGGAATATAGTAAATATTTTTTGATTTATGATTGGCAAAGATGTTTTCATATATTTTCTATATTTGTTAATAATATTTGTTCAAGATAGTTATGAATGTACTATAAAATAATATCAAACGCAAAAATATAATGAAATCAAATCGAAAATAATCTGAAATCTTAGTAGAAATTAGAATGGATTTAGACATATGCATTCACGTTTGAGGATCCAACGGTGTACTGAGAATACAGTAACAATTTACACATAATTTCGTCTATGGCGTTTTAACTCTTCAGATTTATTTTCTGACTAACATCAATCGTTTTGCCCGATGTAATTCTTAAAATCACCGTTCTTAAGCGTAGAATGCGCTTCAAAACCAGTGGTTTTGACTGACGTCGGTATTTCAGATTGTGTGAAAAGAAGTCCCATAAGATGATTGGTCTGCCCTACGTCACGTCTTTGGTGTTATTAAATGTCTTGTGCGCCGACATCGGTAGGAAACCAAGACGGCCAGGTAATTTTCTTAGTTCCCTATTCTTTTATCAGCGTGCAACATTATCAACGGCTAGTTAATACATTTGTTTATCTCCCCTTAAGTCAGGCATGGGCAATTCGTGTCCGTACGGGCAAAATTTTTAGCGAAAGCGGTGGTGGGGATGATGTATACAGTGTGTGTGTTACAGTTACTAATTTAGAGTGCTCATAGGTCTAAGTATTCACCTCTAAAATATTTTACCATGTGCTTGAATAGTTTTCAATACAAACAGTATTTAATAAAGCGTAATATTTTTTAATTATTCTCTTTTTTTATAAATTTATTGCATTTTATTTTTATAAATTTTAATGCACTTATTTAGTGTTAACTTTTTTTGCATTATTCATTGTAGCTTTTATAATTATGAGTTACTATTTTCAAATCATGATTTAGTGTTGTTTTCTGTTACACATTAAGGCATCTAGAATTTTCATAACAGATGCTTAAAATTTCGTCGAAATTATCGAAGTTCCTTCATTTTTGTAAGAAGCACTAACTTTTTCGTTGTGCTGTTAGGAACTGCTGCCATAAGAACACATAGAAATTATGCATTATACAAAGTACTCTTATGCAAATAGTATACTTATGAAACTCAATAATTAAGAAGTTACTGTTAAAGAAAATTCATTTTCGCTAGTTTTAACGCGGTTTCATCGCATAATGAATTTTTATCTATGAAAATGTTAGTCGTACGAATTACTCCCTTTCCCATTTTACTCCGTAGGGTTTTCGCTTCCGAAGTAATTTTTTCTAATGCAAAAAGTTGTTTGCAGCGCACGTAAGTTGTAAATAAAATTTTAGTTTCGAACATTTAACGGAACAAACGTAAAACTGTGCAATAAATATTATTACATTTGTCGAAGTTCACTCTATACGATATCAATTTTTGACACGCGATTCATTTAGAATTGAACGTAAAATGTTGTTAACGTAATTTGTATCACGTTTCCTAGATATGCTTGATATCGTTGTACGTTTTTATTTATCGCCCCTATTACGCCCTATTTCTATTGCTTCTTCCGTGGAATGTGTGCTGTCTGCTTACAAGGGAAGACAGTGTCGGACCGTAAAGTACATAGTAAGGAAGGCGTATCTGCCTTTTTACCGCTCATTCGCTTGCGCATGCGCGTTAGAGGCTTCAGTTTTACATGGTCGACCTATGGAACTTCGTCCACGAGATTCCTATTTCTATTGCTTCTTCCGTGGAATGTGTGCTGTCTGCTTACAAGGGAAGACAGTGTCGGACCGTAAAGTACATACCTAAGTGCGTATCTGCCTTTTTACCGCTCATTCGTTTGCGCATGCGCGTTAGAGGCTTCAGTTTTACATGGTCGACCTATGGAACTTCGTCCACGAGATGGTTCAAAAGACAGGTTCTACGAAAAGAGCTAGTGCTCGTTGTATAATTGCCATGAAGATTTATACGAAGCTTTATTCTATTCACATTTGTATGCCTATAATCTGGACGGAGAATTTAGCCGCTCAAGGCAACGTCCTTGACTGCGAGACGCGCTGGAAATGAGCATCACCTTTCACCCATGCACATTGCAGGTGTCAATAAAACGTAGCATTATTTTTATCACTATGTATCTCACTAACTTCTTTTCTCATTCGCTTTACTTTTTACAACATACGATATGACGATGAAAATATACACGATGAAAATATACGATGAAAATACATATTTTGTTCTAATTGCGATATCCTTAAACTGTAATAGTTAACAGTAACCGTGCAGTGATTTGTTTTTTATTGAAGAAACAAACAGAAAGCTTTCAATACAAAAAGAACCGAAGTTCTTTCCGTTTGATCTCTTTAGGGTGAAGCAATAAATTTATCCGTGCGGAATATTTTCGTTATTTTCAGAAAATAATGTTATTTACGATAGTTGGAAAGTATCTGAGGACCTATAACATATTAGTAATAATCCTGTTTGTGTTCGTGCAATTTATGGCGCAAGGCTATCTCGTAGAAAAAATCATTACATTGTGAGACGTACTATTACACGATGTGACAACTTATTCGTAAGTAAGGCATTTGTAATATTCTTTCGCGTACACTTAGACGTTACACGAGCAGTTTAGTACCAAAATAAAGTTATCAAATGATAACACTTATTAGCAAAAAGCTTTGTAAATCTGTCATTAATGACTCACAATTATTTTGATTTAGTTAACCCTTCAAGCGTTAAATACATATAACCGATGTTCCATTAGAATTACACGCATTACGTGTTGCCAGTTAATGAGAAGTGTTATGTATATGATTTTACGTCATCGTTGGAATGAATTCTCAATAGTGTTTACCGAGGCGTTGGTTCTAATTGTACTAAATAACTAATTTTTGAACGACAGAAGAAATATAATTTTACAAATGTTATTACTGCTTTCGTGATATGTAATGGTCAATTGAATTCTTTTTCCTTTCTTGGATTACGTGGAAAACATAAAAGTAATTTTCACGTTCTTCGAAATAAAATCTTATATATATATATATACATATCGATTAATGTCTGACTTTCAGACGATCTTCAACATGACTTTCAGTAACGTCTAAAAGTTTCAATGATATATTTTATATTTTTGATACTACAAAAGAAATATCAGAAACGTTGATGTTAAATGTACTTTAGCGGAAGACAAATTTGTTTCAATATTTTTGTTTTATTCTAGTGATTAAACGGGAGCAGCAAAGTTACGTATGAGGTCAACCTCATAACTTTACTCCTTCCACTGTTTCGGTAGTTAGCGGACCGACTCAAATGTTTTACCGTGCTTTAAGCTATAATTTCAAAAGTCTTTTTAGAATAACTAACTTTTTCTACGTTTTGGAAATAAAATTTTCTTTTCAACATGGAATAACAGTGGGTGTTGAAATATAATTAAGAGTCGCTTAAAAATATGTAAAACCAGGGTATTTATACGCCTGTTTATTCTACAAGGTGAGATAAACAAGTGAGAAGAGCGATAACGATGGTGCCAACTAGGACGACGAGAGGAATGATGCGAACGGTAGCAAATAACAATAATATTCTCTCGGTAAAACATTATTCGCAATCTGTTTGCCTTACACTTTTCCAGATAACGAGTAAGGCAATATTTAATTGGCCCTATAAGAAGCGTCTTGCAAAACTTGAGTCTCAGTATAGGTATCTCGAAACAGTTCGAAAGATTAATCGTCACGACAAATCCGATATTTCGAGAAATCTTACAAGAAAATAGAAGCATCACAAGATTATTATACGCTGAGCTGCATAATATTTACGCCGATGCTGCGTT